GTGTCCGGAAGAAAAATATTTTATCTGTTATTTAATGAATTTACATCAGCTTGTTTAACCAGCCATTTTAACTTTCATGTTGTGCGTTGAATAATTTAATCGAAAGGCTTAAACCAACATAACCATGATGAATTCAAGTGAACAAAACAATGTACGGCAGCGTTTCATCAGCCCAAGAAATATCCTGCTGTTCATCTTTGTATTATCAACTTTGCTAAATATAATCGCGTTGCTGGATTTAATCAATAATTCACGAGGCTCTTTCATTTACTCTTATTATTTCAACCTTTTTTTAAACGCACTTGTTGTAACTGCGATAATTAAACGCTGGCAAGGAGTTTTAAAGGTTTATCGAATATTTTGTATTGTTGTGCTCGTATGCAATGTCATAATAATCTTCGTTCTAATTTTGGACTTGGCAAATGGCGATAATAAAGAGACTAAAGGATTGGGTCATGTTTTGATGTTTTGTGTTTATTCACTTGCAGTGCTTCTGATTACAATTTATTATATGGGAAAATACATTAAACAAATATCTGCTCGTACTGAACCTGAAAAGGAAGAGACAGGTTCATTTCAACAAACCGTTTGAATTAAGCCGCCTGGCTTTGAGGCATTTTATGGTAATACTGACAAATATTGTTAAGAAATCATTTTCTGTAATTGAATATTTATGGTGTTTGCTTATGCTTGACTAATTATCATATCGTTGAAAAGAGCTGAGAAGGGATCTTTAGAGCTTCAAGCTCGATGTTATTCAAATATCCATGAGTTGTGTGATTTCTGACGGTAAGAAATTGATTTGAAAACTAAATCATCTTAAATAATATAACTTTTTGAATTACTCGAAATAAACAATGTACTTAATTGCTTTCTTTCATTTCATCCTTAAGCTAAAAATCTTCTGTGTCAAACAAGCAGACCGAGATAATCCAAATCGATTTCAAGTTTTAATTTTGGGAACATATTGCTTTCGTGTTTCTCTCAATGGCCGGAGGTCTAACTTTGAGTCCTGCGATTGACGTTCACAAAATATCCCAACTCTCTGGTTATCTCTTTAAAACCAACTGTATTTACATTTCCATCCTTTGAAAAAGCTTTTTCTGACTCGATTTCTGAAAAGATTCGTTAAAATTATCATGCTTTTTCGCTTAACTTAGAGACTGGTGATTGACAAGTCGTTTCTTAAATATTTTTGATGTAAATACATTTTTTTATTACCAATATCTGTTTGTATTATGTAATAATTATGTTTCCTTCTGGTATAAATATGTGTTCTTGAGAATAAGAATAAATTGCACTCAAAGTTAGCATAGTTTCACTGCAAATGTAATTTCTAACCGATAGTTCAATTGCTTTAAATTGAGACTTGATTTCTGTTTACTATTTCTGTAATAAAATTTGCATTTCAAGTTTTTCTTTCAAAAATTCTATGATCATCAAGATAACTCAGCAAAGGTGCTGCGTGAACAGAGAAAGAAACATTTATTTTAAAAATTATCATTGAGAGTTACATTAAAGTAAAAATGGTAAGATTGTACTTTTTAATGGATTAAATGATCATAGACTTTGTTTCCAAGGTGTCATCTCTTTTTGATTTTGCATTGAGATTATTAAAGTTGATTACAAACATGAACACAAACATAAGTATAAGAAACAAATTCAAATTGATTAAGCGAAAAAGAAAACATTTATCACTGATTAAACATTCATCAATATGAAATGATGATCTTTTGATAAGAACAGGTATCAAGTGAAGTTCCAATGAATTGTCTATCAAATGCGTTGTACTTTAATTGGCCGCGCAACTTGTTTTAGCAGGAATGATGAGTTTTAGGTATCTAATGTACAATTTGATATCTAAATAACATTCACCAGTAAAGTGTCTGCATCTGTGAGCAACTTTCTTTGATCAATCATGAACCAGTATCATCTTGGGTTCAATTTGTTGACGTAATGAATATTTGTTTTCTGTTCATAATCGATGCAATTGGCTGCAAAAATTTTTTCCACTTCATTTTCAAAATATAATTGTTATTCTGGATGAGCTGGAGAAGTTTAAAAAAATTGGTTCATTCACTGATGCTAATTGTATTACCAGGTGATATTTTGATTCTCGACCTCTGGCCATTAAATTGTCTTGACATTTGAATTTCTTGACACAGTGATAATGATGAATAATAATCAATAAAAATTAATGATTCAATTTAAACAATAATTTGCTTTCTTGGTTCAGTATTGAATTAGGGTTTAGAGTTGATCAAGGTAACTTGATAGGCACAAATGATGAAACACTGTCGTGATTGAGATTCCTTAATGGTAAGCAAAAGCTCATTAACTCCTCGACGTAAAGGAGTGAATGAGAAGACAAATTTGGCACCCTAAAAATAAGAAAATATTTTAGTAAGAAATCAGCAATTGAAAATTAAATTCGGTTGGGGACGTATAGTTACCTCTGTTAAAGATTTTTGAAGAGTTCCATTAAGGTAGACCTTAACTTTGGCGGAAGGACTGAAAAATCTCAATGAAACTGGCTTGAAGAGACTGAAAGTTAAATCACTTATAAACAGAAGAAAACCAATTCCTGTGAATAGAAAGAGAAATCTCACACAATTAGTTTGAGAACAAATGCGCTATTAACAAACCTGGCTGAAATGGCTCAATGGAATCAAAATTGAACAGCAACCGAAATCGAAGATTTTCACTTGTGGAATGGCATTGAATGGGAAAAAGAGCGTGGCTTATCCGAGCGGTACTGCGAAGAAGTTCAATAACTTGATTTTCTAATGCCATTGTAATCCTAAATGAACAAAAGATAATCATAATCAATAAAATTTTGAAATACAAAAAGATCTAATAACAATCTGATAATTACTGAGAAACATGTTTGGTCAAAATGTGTTGAGTTTCATCATTTCCAAATAATTTAGCGGTTCTCAATGCATTTGAACCAGCATCATTGATTATTGAAAAATTGGCTCCATGAAGCAGCAAACTCCGGACAATGTCATAATGGCCATTTTGACTAGCCTATAAGCGAAAAGTAATCATATGTCAATTATAATAAAATTA